CCTTGTCTATGTTCCTGTGGAATGGTGGTCTTTCTACTTTTTATTTGTTGAACATTACGGTTAGTGATACCTTAATCCTGTGATTATAAGGTAAGTTGAAAGCATCTTATTGCAAAGATGAAAGGAAAAGAAAGAAAGGAAGGAAGGAGGGAGGGGGAACTGAGGAAGGGAGCGGAGGAAGAAAGTACGTTTATCTTCTTAGAATTGTATCTATGAAATACGTAAAATCTGTTCTCCTTATATCAATGAATTTTTAAAGTATGTTATTTCAAAAATTAAAAGAAAAATAAGAAAGGAAGAAGGAGTGAGGGTAAGAGGGACGGAGGGTGGGAAGTACCGTTATGTTCTTAAAACTGCGTATATGAAATACAAGTAATCTCTCATCTTTACATAAATAAATCTAAAGACTAAGCACTTCAAGACAAGAATCAAACATTACATGGGTCAATTAAAATTTAAAAATAAGTCCATGTACAAACAGGGTGCTTGTGGTCACGGGCCACAGCTTCCGCTGCAGACGTGGTGGACACATGGGGGACTATTCCGCAGCAACCAACAGCAAACACAAGGCACACAGTGTTCCTCTCTATAAATTAGTTAGTTACGCAGAGTGGCCTGTACACTGCCCCTTCCTTCAGCGGTGGCAGGTAAAGCGCTAGGGGTCTTATGTAGCCAGTCCCTTCTCATTTCCACAGAGATCAATCGATGTATTTTGGGTCCTCCTTCCTACTTGAAGAAACTTCAACATGTTCTTGGAAAATAGGACTAAAAGGCAAGCTAATTTTGGTGCAAAAATACTTTTAAATCCATGCATAATTTTTTTTGTAATATGCATTTCCCACAAACTTTGAAGACCTTTATACAATGGCAAAGACACAGCCCTCAGTGCAAGGACTAAAGTCATATTCTAGAAATTTCTGTGTGGAGAACATTTTCCATCTGTTCAGATCCAGGAAATAACCTCAGTTTATGGTGGTTTTTGGAAAATGGTTGCAGGAAAAACTAAAGAATAGGAACCACAGGCCAGACCAGGCCACTCAGCTGTATTAGTGGTATCTTCTTTTGATTCCATTTGTCACTTCCATCCGGTTTGCTTTACAAATTAAAGGATTGTTTTCCGTTGATGTTGATATGGAATGCGCACGTCTGTATCTGAAGGCACATCCCCAGTTCTGCTCCTCCCACTTCCATCTGGTCGTGCTCCCCAGAGCTGACCACTTGCAGTTGTCAGTGGCTTCTTTTGTGGTTTCCTGCAGAATCTTCCAATGGAATGGCAGAGGCTGCTGTTTGCAGATCTGTCCAAGGTGGGCTGCCTTGGTTTGAAGTTTCCCAGAAGGAGAGCTGGAGGTAAGGATTTAAGGACAGGATGGGGAAGTTGAGAAGGCAGGCAGCAAAGAGTGAATCACCCAACCAGTGACAGCCGTGGGCACCTGGAACCAGGTGCTGGTGTGCAGAGAGAGCAGGTGTATAACAGGGTCCGTACTCACTGGTTTGAGGCTGTTGCTGTCATGTAGGCAGTAAACAAGCTGCCACCTCCAGAGACACCTCAATGCAAAGAGACATGGATGCTGGCAAGCAGACCCAGGGCCCCTGGGGACAGCCACAGTCAAGGCCAGGCGTATGGGCAGGCAAGATAAGCAAGAAGCCTGCACACCTCCACCTCCTCTTGTTCCCCCAACACTACCAGTGTTCTTGCCTTTTCTACACACGCTCACTAACATTTATCTTTTGACTTTTTGATGGCAGTCATACTAACAAGTATGAATTGGTAGCTTATAGTTGTTTTTAAAGAAGAGGAAACCAAAGGCCTGAAAAGATTCAGTGGCTTGCTCAGCCAAGCATGGTGCAGCCACTGGGCCAGCGATCAGGCAGGCTGTGTCAAAGGGCCCCGTGGCAGGGGCTGGTGTGGACCCCAGGTCACCAGCACAACCTGGAGTGGGGCAAGAACTTCCAACTGGATTCAGGTTGATTTAAAGAAAAGGAAGTGCCATGTCTTGCACGTTGCTGTTGGTGCACTAAGATTCACGCAGGGATCCCTTTCTGAATGGCAAAGACTGGAGTGAGAGAGTGGCTGATGCACCTCTGCAGGGGACATGGATTACAGGTGCTGGGACTCAGGCTAAGCCATGCTGAGCTGGTGGCCAAGAACGCATGGTGGAACCTGCTTAAAGAGGTGAATTGTGAACTCTTGGAAAACCTGGCTGATAGAGAAGTCAGGGAAGAGCCGCGGGCTCCTTCAGGACATTGTGAAAACCGTGGATAGACCAGCCCCTCTCTCGGGTGTTATAAAATACCCATCTCTTGTTTGTTACTGTTGACATTATAGAAGTGAATCCGAAACAAGACAATATCAACGAACACAAACTAAATCAAGGAAAGCCTCATTTCCAACACTGTAAAGCTTGTATAAATTAAAAGCAAATAAACAAACCGTGGGCAGAGACAAAGTGGGCAGAGGAGGCAGTGAGGACCCACAGAGCCCCCTTGGTTTGCTAAGATGAAAGTTCTCTGCAATTCTTAGGAAGATTGCCAGGCGTTAAGGGCTCAAAGCCAACTCTCTTTGTAAAAAGTCAAGTCCTCCCTGCAGAGGGAGCAGCTCAGGGTGCTGCCTGCACGGGGCCTCTGTGCTGGGGCAGCACTGGGGAGAACACCAGTCCACTGTGACAGAAAGGAGTCCCGGAAACTGGGAGCATCCCAATACTGAAACTCCCACCCCTCGAGGAGAGACCTTGAACCCTGATTAGGGAACATCTCCAACAAACCGTCACTATTGTCGAACTAGAAAGTGTAAAAGGGAGAAAAGCACCCCAGGCAGGCTCTCTGGGGCTCACTCCGCTCCAGCCAGGCCAGCTTCCTCCTCCGTGTTCTGCCACCCGCACCCATGGCACCTGATGCTCTCTGCCCGGATGCTGCTCCCAGACATGGAGAAGGCCCAGCCCTGCACCCTCTTTGAATAGCATCGGCACTTGGCACCATCTGACAAATGACACCTTTGCTTACTGTCATTCCCCAGGAGCTAGGCTCAGACTACAGGTACTGAGATTTTATTTTTAAGATTTTACTTATTTATTTGAAAGAGTTACAAACAGAGAGGGACATACAGAGAGAAAGGTATCTTATCTGCTGGTTCACCCCTCAGATGTCTGCAGCAGCCAGAGCTGGGCCAATCCGAAGCCAAGAGCCAGGAGCTTCTTCTGGGTTTCCCACGTGGATGCAGAGGCCCCCCAACACGGGCCATCTTCTGCTTTCCCAGACCATAAGCAGAGTGCAGGATTAGACGAAGAGCAGCTGGACACGAACCTGCACCCATATGTGATGCCAGCACCACAGGTGGAGACTTAGCCTACTGCACCATAGCACCAGCCCCAGGTACTGAGATTTTTGCCCAGAGCTGTGTCCCTAGTTCCTACAGTGGTGCTTAACAAGTACTCCCTGGGGTGGAGTGGCCTTGTGGCCCAGTGGATTAAATGAACACTTGTGCCTGAACACCAGCTCCTTGCTAATGAGCCTGGGAAAGCAGCAGGAGACAACTTAAGTACTTGGGCCCCTGCCACCCATGTGGGAAATCCAGATGGAGCTCCGGGCTCCTGGCTTCAAGCTGCCATTTGGGGAGTGAACCCCCAGATGAAAACCTCTCTCTCTCTCTCTCTCTCTCTCCACCCTCCCATCCCCCGAGGTGGCACGGGCTTGAGGCACTTCTGCTGTCACAGCAGTGTGGCTGTGGCCAAGCAGGACAACTGGAGGCCACACTGCTTCTGACCCCTCAGCGGCTGGCAGAGCTGGGCAGCCACAGCTGAGTGCTTAGACTCAGCACAGCTTCGGTCTCCGCGTAAAGATGGACGTTGCAGCCGGCGCCGTGGCTCAATAGGCTAATCCTCCACCTTGCGGCGCCGGCACACCGGGTTCTAGTCCCGGTCGGGGTGCCGGATTCTGTCCCGGTTGCCCGTCTTCCAGGCCAGCTCTCTGCTATGGCCAGGGAGTGCAGTGGAGGATGGCCCAGGTGCTTGGGCCCTGCACCCCATGGGAGACCAGGAAAAAGCACCTGGATCCTGGCTCCTGCCATCGGATCACAGCGGTGCGCCGGCTGCAGCGGCGGCCATTGGAGGGTGAACCAACGGCAAAGGAAGACCTTTCTCTCTCTGTCTCTCTCTGACTGTCCACTCTGCCTGTCAAAAATTAAAAAAAAAAAAAAAAAAAAAAAAAAAAAAAAGATGGACGTTGCATCGCTGGGCTCAGAGAGCACAGACCACGCCACTCTCCTCCCTCGAGGGAACCCGGAACAGGAGGGCCAGGAGGGGTTGCTGCATGCTCCTCTCCAACACCATTGCTCCTTGGGAGCCCTTCTCAGAAAAAGGAAATCCCCCAAGAACAAGAGTGCTGCAAAATTTCTGTCTGGGGACAAGGAGACCGCACCACACTGAAACCTACGACCTAATGCTGGAGCTAGGAGAACACAGCCGTTATTTGCAGGAAGCTCATTCTCAAGCAGCAGCCAAGGCAAATGGGCAAGAAGCAAGTCCGTGGCATCTGTTTATCAAACAAACGATCCTCGGGAGTGGAGGGGAGTGGCTCATTTCTGCAGTGGGAATGTAGGATTTCTCTCTAGTCTCATGATTTGTTTTGGTTCGAAGTCAAATCTTGTCATCTGCATTGCAACTTTTTAAACTACTTACTGGCAAATGCCAGAATTCCAAGACAACCTGGGAGTCGACAGGGAAACATGCAAAGATGGTGCTGTAGCTTTGGATTTTCCTGGCTCTGTGATCCCCAGCTGGCAAATGTGGAATTCACCTGTCATAAGAAACATCATCTCAGGCCAAAATGCATGATATGAAAAATAACTTCTCTGGCTGCTCAGGACAGGTCAAAATACGGGAAAGACACTGTGGAATCTGATATGCAAAGCATTGTTCAAACCATCACCAGTGATATAAGCTGTATGACAGTTAATTGTTGCTTTATTATTTCTACTTTTTTTAAAAAAAATCAGGAAACAGTCATTTTAAAAACAAACTTTCTTTTTTAATATAAATGGACAGAAAATAGGCAGTAACACCAGAAATAAAGTATCTTAAGCCCTGGGCTTTTCTCCAAAAGATGAAAGATCTCTTTTTTCAAAAGATACAAGATGCACAGATAAATCACATTCACACCTGAAAAAGTCAGAGAACAATTTAAATTCATAATGAACAGTGAATATTTTCATATGCTTCACCAGTTTGGAATTACAAAAATGTTAGCAAAATTGTTCATTCCCATAATTTTTATGACTAAAAAATAGAGCAAATCATGTACCTTAATAGTCATTTTATGTCTTACTCAAATGTACAAATAACCCTAAAGATAGTGCCCGTGCTTATTATACATACTACAAAAATACTGAGATATTTACCAGGCATAACTAATATAGATGAAATTATATTTTATGTTTCACAATCACAGTCCATCTTTTCCCTTTGGTTCAGAAAATGAAAGAGGTAGGTTCAAATAAAGTAAATGCCGACTAGGTCACAGGTTTTCATTTAAATGTTGGCAGCTTAAAAAAATTATGAGAAATTGAACTCAAATGAGCTTTAGGAACTATATAATATCTTCAACTAATAAATATTTTTCTAGGTTCTAATTGCACAAATCAGAAAATATACTTGACTACAAAACTGGCTTTGGTAAAATTAAAAAAATGCTACCAATATTATAAACTAAAGTTTCCAAATCATACCACATTCATCAAACTTGGGGCAAGAGAGAATATGAATGTATATGTTTAAAAATTGGGTCTTTCATTTAAAGTAGGTATCTAATATATAAGATTAACACATACTACTATTAATATATTTTTAGCTTCATTAATTATATTAATAGTATTAATTAATACCATTCTTTAGCTTTGTGCTTCCAAATTAAGAATGGCAGGTTCAAAACAATTATGCAGTGAGGATAAATTGAGCATGTCATCCACTTATGATTAATCTACTTCATGTGAGTAGCAGAGAAATTTCACATCACTAAGAGTGGTCCCAGGAAGTCTTCCTGACTAAGGAAGACTTTTCTGATTTGAAAAGTAGGAAACAAAGTATAAGGGTTTGGCTTTTGGTTTTTGTTTATTTACCACTGTCTTGGTTGATAATGGTGACATCTGACAATCAGTATATAATATAAGGAATCAAATAACAGTGCAAGCAAAATGGAAAGGTGCCTACCGAAATAAATAGTTTATCACTCCTTCTTATAAATTCCACTACCTATGTGCATTCCTGTTCCACTTAAAGAAAGGTGAAGATATAAACTCTATTCTTATTGGACTAATTTAAGACATATTTTAAGTGCAGTGATTTTCTGTTTATGATTTTAAATGGAAGTGCGAAGATGTCTATAGATATATTCAAAATATATCTATATCGAGGTTTCTGATCATTTTGCTTTTAAAAAGACATACAAATATAAAAGAACTGGCATATATCTAAATCAATCAAAATAAAGATTTATAATTCTACCACACAAAACAAATTTAGTTCCAGCAAATACATTTTGAGATTGAGGACTAAAGTTAGAGATTTGCAAAAGGAGTAATACAAGAAGATACAGTACAATTTTGTGGCTTTCCAAAACTTATTAAAACTATGACCTTGAATTTCTGTGTATGGAAAACTGAACTCAAATGTTTGAAGTGATTGTTGATATGTTCTTCCCTCTGGTGGGAAAAAAAAAAAAAGTAGACTTTTTTGTTTTGGTTTGGATTTTTTTTGCCACAGACTTGTTGCAATTTTAGGAGAAACATTCTCTCCAGAGATGGTTGAAGATTTCAATAATTATGCTGGATCACAAGCCTCAACCTATCACTTCTGGGTTACTCCTAAGGTTTGCTTCATATTTTCATAGACCACGTAGCTGATGCCTACAGCAGGGAGCACCTTCATGAAGTTTGGGGTGATGCCTCTGTAAAGTCCTGGGAGTCCTTCTTTGGAAATTATTCTTCTAAAGAGGCCCACCATGTTCAGCTGTGGGGCTCCTTCCAGCATGGCTAGAAAAGAGAAAATTTGCAACAGCTTAATTGAAGCAAGTTTTGTTAGAATTACAATAAATAGGATTCAGAATGATATTCTATGATATAATGAAAGGTTAACATTTATTCTAAGGGTTCTGAGAAAATATCTCTTTATATAATTCTCTTTGTACAGCATCTAATAAGTGAGTGCCCTGATGATAATGTTGGTAGTAGCAACTATTATTGAGAAATGACTGCAGGCTAGGTACTGGGTTAGTTTCTTCCACATCAATTGTGCAAGGTAACTGCTATACCCATTTTGTAAATGAGGAATTGGGAGATGTGGAAGGGTGGAGAAGCTTGACCTGTAACCCCAAGACAGGAAGTGGTAGAGCAAAATTCACATGGTCTGCCTCCAATATCCATTCACTTCCAACCGCACCACCCGGGCCTCTCTCATTCCTCCTCTTGAGTCAGGTGCAGAAGAGAGAACAGTAGGCAGAAGATGGGAAACCTTTGGAGAGCTTAGGCAAAGTATAGAGGACCTGGGCCTATAACATTAGCAGGCAAAAAAGGAAGGAGTATAGGTATAAGGAAGGAGTGTAGTACAGTATAACAAAGACAAGGGCAGGACCAGGTGTGTGTGTGTTGCAGGATGTGGTTATCACACTGGCAGCTGCAGGTTAGAGGTGGGCGGGTTAGGGATGGGGATGTGGAGACGAAGTGAAAAAGTAAAGGTGGGCCAGAGTATTAAAGGCTTTGAAATTCCCTCAGCGCCTGCCTGGACTTCACTCTGAAAAGACCGAACAATTGCAAAGACATCTGAGCACGTGTAAATGATTAGACTTTGACATTAGAAACGGCAGGTCTAGCCGCCCTACACAGCTCCCGATTGCAGCTGGCACCCTGGAGGGCTCACTGGGAAGCCTGGGTTTGAATTCTAGCTCCACTGTTCACCAAAAGCATAACCTGGTGGAAGTTCCTTAATCTCTCTCCGCCCCAGTTACTCATCTGAAAAACGGGGATAATAAGAGTGTCAGTCTCTTAAGATGACCACGATGGCTACAGAGACAACAAACAAGAAACAGGGCCTTTACTCCTCACGAGTTTCTGTGTAGCCACATGACTGTCTCTCAGCCCCTCCACTGTGCCATGCTTCTTCCTGCCCCGGTGCCTTCACATGAGATTTTTCTCAGGCTAGAAAGCCCTCTCCCACCCCACTGCACCTGCTTGAGCTCAGCAGCCCCACCTGCCTTTCCATCTCAGCACACACGGCTGCGTTCCTCAGGGCTGTGTTGAGGACAGCAGACTGGGCCGCCTCCTGTGACGCAGGCATCCCATATGGGTGCCGGTTCCAGTTCTGGCTGCTCCACTTCTGGTCCAACTTCCTACTAGTGTGCCTGGGAAAGCAGTGGAAGATGGCCCAAGTCCTTAAGCCCCTGTCATCCATGTGGGAGACCTGGAGGAAGTTCTTGGCTCCTGGCTTCGGTCTGGCCCAGCCCAGGCTGTTGTGCTCATCTGGGGAATGAACCAGCTGATGGAAGGCCTCTCTCTTCATCTCTCTCTCTCCCTCTCTGTACTCTGCCTTTCAGATAAATAAATAAATAAAATCTTTTTTTAAAAAAATGGCTGCATTTGGGGCCAGTGCTGTGGTGCAGTGGGTTAAAGCCCTAACCTGAAGTGCTGGCATCCCATATGGGCGCCGGTTTGAGTCCTGGCTGCTCCACTTCCGATCCAGCTCTCTGCTATGGCCCAGGAAAGCAGTAGAAGATGGTCCAGGTTCTTGGGCCCCTGCACCCACGTGGGAGACCCAGAGGAAGCTCCTGGCTCCTGGCTCCGGATCAGCGCAGCTCCGGCTATTGCAGCCATCTGGGGAGTTAACCAGCAGATGGAAGACTTCTCTATCTCCACCTCTCTCTGTAACTCTTTCAAATAAATAAATCTTTAAAAAAAAAAAAGATGGCTGCATTCTCCAGCTCCCAAGTTAGGTTACAGTCCCTTGCTCTGTGCTGCACTAACCAAGGAGAGGCTGGATGGATGTCATTTCCCCTCTAAAATGGCAGAACCACATCTGAGTTGCTGACTGCTCTAACCCCAGCACCTGCCAGTGTCTATCTGACAATGGCTCAGAAAGTATGAGTCATCTAATGATGGACAGCTTGCGGGAGGAGTGGTTGGGAGAGGGGTTAGAGATGGAGCTGCAGATACTGAGGGTGTACTATTTAAAGAAATATGGTACATGATACTGTCCAGGCAACAAGAAGGAAAAACAAGCACAGAATGCATACTTTATGATAGAGTAGGTGGCATACTGGCCGCCAGCAAAGAGTAAGAAGTGAATAACCAGTGATCTGGCAGAAGAACCAGGAGGGGACAGTGTGATCAAACCCCATGAGAGAGTCACAGTGAGGAGGAATCAGGGTTGAGCAGCTGTAGGGTCCACGCAGCACTAATAATAAGCAACTCCATTCACCAGGAATTTAACAAGTGCCAGGTTTTACCTATGCTGCTGTTAATTCTTACCACACTGCACAATTCTCATTCCCATTCACAGGTGGGAAAATGAAAACTCGAGAGTTCTGGGGCAGTGTTCTGAACCCAAATTCACCCAAACGCATGCATTCAAAGTACCAAAAGAAATGTCTTATTTTGCTTATATGTAAAACATACATCCTGCTTACAGGGCACAGGCATTGTAGCTGTGGCATTACAATTTCATGAGCAGGGAGAGATTAGCAAAAGAATTTCTGTAAAGGTCCCTTAAGGAGGCAATAACAACAACAAAACATGGAGAAACAGAATGGGTGGAGAGATGCCGTCTTAGATGACACTGTGCTGCCTCAGTAGAACTTGAAGTTCCAGAGCACATTACTGACACTGCCCTTTTACTATCTTCATTTCTCTGATCAAAAACTCACCTTGAGCCTGCATGCGTGTTCTCACCAAAGCCAAGGGATAGCTGGCCAACTGGCCACAGGTGCTGGATAAGGCACCACACCCCAGCAATACCAGAACTCCAGGGTTGACAGAGTCTTTTGCAAAATTATCTAGCCAGTGGGACTTCAAGAGCTGCCAGAGAAAGAGAAAAAAGAAGAGAATGAACGGCAAAGTGTACGACTGCTTTCACTCGAGGTGAACATTTGCACAGCTATTCTCATCCTTATGAGAGATGGATAGGAGCAGCAGGTGCTGTTGAGAGGTACAGGCCACTGGAGGGTCAACATAGGCACCTACAGTGGTTGCTCACTGTCTTCTAAGCAAGCATGAAAGTCAACAGTACACCAATGTCGTGAGATCTAAAGCACATTTCTTACACGAGTACTAACAAAATAATATACTACTACTTCCTGTATCTCATTTTCCACTTTGCACATTCTTTCATTTGGGCCTTAGAAAAACTTGGACACAGATGCATTATCCCTGACTTCATAAATGAAGAAAATGAGTCTCTGTGGAGTGTTCTAACAAGAGTCAGATGTGCTGACCCATAGGCCAGGCTCTTCTCTGTTATCCTAGGTCCCTGTAGTTCACTAGAAGGCAGCTGTTGGGAGAAATTACATTATCTACAGCTTAACTTCTTAAACATAAAATATGTTAAGTATAAAAATGCTAATAGGTAAAAAATTATACCTAGTCCAAATGTTTATATTTTTTAATCCCATAAGATTGGAGGATCACTTGACGGAAGTCTTGCATGCTATATTCCAAGCACTGAAATAAGCTGCCAACCAATAAAACTGTCTTTCAAAAATGAATGAGAAATTCAGACCATCTCAGGAAAACAAAAATCAACAGAGTTCATCACCACCAGAGCTGTCCTACAAGAAACACTAAAGGGAACCCTTCAAGTTGAAAATAAAAGACCACAAACAGCAGCAAAAAACCACATGACAATATAAATACCATGGGGAAGGCAATATATAGAAAACTAAAATCCTACAGCATTGTAATGGAGCTGATAAATAACTTTTCTAAAATACATACTAGATTTCAAAACAAAATCATAAGAAGTAACTGTGAATGCATATGAATAGAAACACAGCAGAGAAAGAAGTAATTTGTACCATCAATAACACAGGAAAGGGGAGGTCAAAGATATAAAGGAGGGGAGTTTTTACGTGTGAGTGATGTAATCAGTATTAAACAGGCTTTTATAACTTCAATATGTTTTATATATTTGCAAGAGTAATGACAAAGCTATAATGTCTATAGAATATACACAAATGAGAAGGGAGTTGAACATGTCACTACAAAAAATTCAACAAGATACGGAAATACAAATATTGCATGACTTCACTTATGAAGCATCTAGAATATACAAATTCATACAAAGTAGCTAGGGGAGTTATCAGGGGTTGGGGGAAGTAGGGGTAGGGAGTTACAGCTTAACAGTTAAAAAGGTCCTGTTCTGGAGTGATGAAAATGTTTAAGAAATATTTTGTGCTGAAAGTTACACAACATTGTGAGTGCAATTACTGCACTGAATTGTACATTTAGAAATGATTAAAATGGCAAACTTTATATTTTGTCATAATTTTTAAAAAATTGATAATATCAATATACCAAAACCATTGGACTGTACACTAAGTAGATCAAATGCAAGTGGTATAGGAGCTGTAGCTCAATAAAGTTTTTTTTTTTTAATTTCAATATAAATAGTAAATTCCTCTAAGAAAGCTCCCTGTACACATCCCAGCAACCCCTCCACCTCAGGATGGGTCCCTGCTAACCTGTGCCCTGGCAGACGCCTTCCACAGCACAACTACCACACTGGGCCCTAGCTGTGGACTTCTCCATCTCCCACCAAACCTTCAGTTTCTTAAAGGCAGACACTGCATTCTTATTTCAATCCCAAGATTCAGTATCTAACTCAGTGGCTGTTACACAGTATGCAATCAATGTTTGTCAGATTGATCAATTATTAAGTGATGGCAATGACAAGGTTGACCCAAGATTCGTACTGAGCTGTCCACTCAACACAAAGATAGAATTTGAGTTACCCACATGAGTCACTTGCTGGCTTTGCCACTGACAGATTTTGACAAACCAAAGAAAATGTGACATTTTTGCTTATTTTGTCTCCCACCACAAAGATTCCTAGCACCATCTTCTAAGCTGAACAGCTATACCTGAATTTGAGTCTACTCTCTTCATTAACCAAAATACATCAGAAAGAAATCTAACACAAAAGGGACTCCATGCACTTGTCCTCAAGTACTCAAAGTACTTGAAAAGAAAGATCAAAGAATGCATTCTTGAGCCAACTTTGGTCACTTACTGTTTTCTGGTATACATCCACCTCTTTATAGAGAAATTCTAACAATAAGAGCTATTTAAACCCATTTTCAGAATCAAGACACTGCTGCTCACTCACCTCATACACAGCAAGGTCTATGCCTGCATAAGGTATGATGCCTAATAAATTTGGAACATAACCTTTGTAAAAAGCTCCAAAACCTTCATATTTCAAAATCTTCTTGGCACAGTCATATATTCCAGAGTATTGTCCAGTTTTGCCTACAGCCAGTCTGGTTTTCATAACCTGGATATGAAAAAACATGATAAAACATTATTCTTCATATTAACTCTATCATCATGAAATTCAAAATAAGAAATTTTACAAGGAACAAATACCCACACATATTGTAACTCAAATGGTTATAAAACTGGTTGATAGATTCTCCCTAGCATATTAGCTCTACTGAGGAGGTAAGATAGGAGCCAGGAAGACTTACTTATTGCAAAGAGGATTTGAATGAGGGTAGTGACAGAGGAACAAAACTGACTGTTGGTCGATTTGGTAGCCAGTGATGGAAACACTCCAGTGTTTTGGCTTGCACACAGGATGGGGACAGAAGGGAATGGGAAGTAATGCTATTGAGATGAAGGATGTAAGAGGAAGTCAAGTATTGAGTTAGGAGACTTTTCTGACGAGTGTATGGAGCAATAGGAACAATTGCATTGTGATGCTTGCAAAGCTATGATAACATGCATACCACAAAGCAGTAGAAATTAAAGAGTGTATCTTAGATCTTTTCAGTTATTAAAAATTCTTTGAGAGAGAGACCAAGATGGCATAATAAGGAGAGAGCTACTGCTCTAGTCTAGGGGAATATAGTTTTAAAAATGTGGAGAGAGTGCAATCTCAGGCAAGAGTTAGGGAGAAAATGGCAGAAGAAACTCCATGCAAATTAGAGGGACACCATGGACCTACGTGGAGGGTGTAGACGCACACAACTCAGAACCCCAGCAGCCGAGAGGCTCAGCACCAGTTTTGGAGAATGAGGTGAGACCAGACTGCAGCAGCCCAAGCCACTGGAGATAAAGCTGCAGAAAGAGCCTGGCATGGGTCCAGCTTGGAAGCCTGTGGGTAGACAGTACACCTGCCAACATTAGGGGAAAGGGGGGGCACGTTTCTTTCTCCCTGACTACCCAGCACCAGCATCCTATAACTAACTAGTCAAGAGAGGGCAGGTGCCATTTTGGACATATGTAACAGCTGCACCAGCTCATGTCTGTATGCCCAGCAACCAGAAGAGAGGAGATGCCTAACTCTGGCTAGGAGAATTGACAGGAGGCTGGGTGCTCATAACTGTGGGACCCTTGTGTGCTGAGACTGTTAAAGCATGCATGGGAGGGTGCACGGTGTGGCTGGGTCTTAGGGTAGTTACTGTGGGCAGCCCCACACACTCGGGGCTCCCTGAATCCCTGGTGAGGGTCACTGCTATAGGATCCATGCTTACACCAAGGACTGCAATGGAGGAGGGGGAGAGGGAGGAGGGAGAGGGAGAGAAAGAGGAGAAGAAATAATTAGGAAACTAAAAAACAGTGTTGGAGATTTGTGGGATACTATCAATGGACCCAACATACAGGATCTTAGGAGTTCCTGAAGGCATGGAGAGAATGGATTATAAGGCCTTTTTAGTGAAATAATTACAGAAAACTTCTATAATTTGGTAAAAGAAAGGAACATCCAAGTACAGGAAGCACACAGAACTCCTAATAGACATGACCAGAAAAGATCCTTACCATGATACATTGTAGCCAGACTCTCCACAGTAAAACATAAAGAAAAGATTCTAAAATGTGTACGAGAGAAACACTAGATCACTTTCAGAGGATCTCCAAATAGACTCACAGCTGAATTCTCATCAGAAACCATACAGACTAGGAGAGAATAGCGATATATATTCCAGATCTTAAGAGAAAAAAAAAAACAATAAACCCAAAATACCATAACCTGCAAAGCTCTCATTTATGAATGAAGGTGAAATACAGACCTTCTATAACAGGTATTGAGTTTGTCACCACTTGTCCAGCCATACAAAAGATGCCTACAGATGTGCTATACACAGAAACACAGAAACATGGTCATCACTATGAAAGAAGGTGAAGGCAGAAAATCTCCTAGTAAAATAACAAAGGAAATCCAAAATAAACAATGGGAATATTTATGGGAAAATGGCAAGGCCAAGTCTTTACTTATCAATAGTCACCTAGCATATAAATGGCTTTAACTCTCCAGTTAAAAGATACAGACTGGCTGAATGGATTAAACACAAAACCCATCTATTTGCTGCCTACAAGAAACACATCTCACCAACAAAGATACACAACAAAGTGAAAGGAAGGAAAAAGATATTCCATGCTGACATAAACCAAAAAAGGTCAGGTATAACCATCCTAATATCAGACAGAAAAAAACTTTAACACAAAAACTGTTAAAAGAGACAAAGAAGGGCACTATACAATGATTAAGGGATCAATTCAATAGGAAGATGTGACTATAATAAACATATATGTACTTAATTACAGGGCACCCGGCTATTTAAAAGTAATGTTAATGTATCTGAAGGGAGATGTAGACTACAATACAAATAGTAATGGGGGACTTCACTACCCCACTTTCAGGAAAGGACAGATCAACCAGCAGAAAATCAGCAAGTAAAAAACAGTTAATCAACATTACAGACCAAATGGACCTAATGGATATCTACAGAGTTTCTCATCCTACAGTTGCAGAATACACATTCTTCTCACCAGTGCATGGAACTTTCTCTAGGATGGATCAAAGGCTAGGCCATAAAGCAGAAAATTCAAAAAAATGAAATCATAACCATACATAGTCTCAGACCACAATGGAATGAAACTGGAAATCAATAACTCAAGAATCTCTAGAACATATGCAAACACATGGAGATTGAACAACATGCTCCTGAATGAACAGTAGGTCAGAGAAGAAATCAAAATAGAAATCAACAAACTGTTGAGGAGCAGGGTTTTTTTTAATATAGTATTTGTTGAACTCTTTACTTAGTATAGAGTTAATCTTCTTTGTATAAAGTTAATTGAGAATAGGTTTCAGTAAAAAATAAGAATGGGAATAGGAGACAGAGGAGGAAGAAGGGTGGGAGAGCTGCTATGGTGGGAAGAATCATTAAGTTCCTAAAATGCATCAAGTTTGTATACCTTAAATAAAAGGTTTTTGAGGGAAAAAAGTTCTTTGATATATCAAAGATATCAACATCTACTTTTTTTTTTTTTTGCTCTAAAGCAGGAGTTGGCAAACTTTTCCTGTAAAAGTCAAACAATAAATATTTTAGTTTTTGCAGGCTTAAAAGATGAGGTCTGTTACATATCCTTTGCTTTCTTATGTTTTGTTTACCCTCCTTTAAAAAATTGTTTCCATTTATTTGAAAGGCAGAGATAGAGACAAAAAGAGAGAGAGATTTCACCTGCTGGTTCACTTCCCAAATGTCCACAGCAGCCAGGGCTGAGCCAGGTCAAACCCTGGAGCCTGGAATCCAATCCAGGTCTCCCACATGGATGGCAGAGACCCCAGCACTTGAGCCATTACTACTACCTCCCAGGGTGCACATTAGCAGGAAGCTGGATCAGAAGCAGAAGTGAAACTGAAAGCCAAGCAGTCCAATATGCCTGTCAAATGCCTGCCCCTACCTACCTTTTTTTTTTTTTTAAGAATTATTTTATTTATTTGAAAGACAGAGATACAGAAAGAGGTAGAACCAGAGAGAGAGAGGTCTTCCATTCCGCTGGTTCACTCCCCAAATGACTGCAATGGCCACAGCTGAGCTCATCCAAAGCCAGGAGCCAGGAGCTTCTTCCAGGTCTCCTACGTGGGTGCAGGGGCCCAAGGAGTTGGACCATCTACTGCTGCTTTCCCAGACCATAGCAGAGAGCTGGATTGGAAGTAGAGCAGCCGGGACTCAAACCGGTGCCCATATGGGATGCCAGCACTGCAGGCTGGGGTTTTAACCCACTAAACCACAGCACCAGCTCCACTACTTGCCTTTTAAACACATAACCATTCTTATCTCAAGAGGCTGTGTGCAACAAGGAGGACCATAGCCGCCAACCCATGCTCCAATGGAAGAAGGTCTAGTTAGGATCACCATCATTCTAACAAAATCCTGAGGATCCCTTATGAAATTCATGGCACAGAAACTCCTCAGAGGGAACAGGAGTCACAATTTCTCAACAACATAGTGGTACTTAGCCTTTCATATGGCCCCCAATAACCTCTGGATCCTGGTATTTGCACCCTGTGTGGTCCCCCCACACTCTGCCAAGGTTGGATTGTGGGACCTTGCTCTCTCATCACTGGCTGTAGGGAGAGCTGGCTCCCATGCTGAGAGGATACTCAGGCAGCCTACAGAAAGGTCCACGTGGTGAGGAACTGATATCACCAGCCAGTAGCCCATGAGGCCTGTAACACCCACACCTGGGTAAGCTTGCAAACACACCATGCCCAGATGAGTCGTGAGTTGACTGCAGCCCTGGCCAGCACCTTGACTGCAGGCTCTAAAAAGCCCTGAGCCAGAAGCACCCAGTGAAGCTGCCCCCAGATTCCTATAGAAACTGTGAGAAAGTAAATGCTTATTTATTGGAACTGCTGGTTCTGGTATGAGCTGTTACACAACCTCAGAGAATGAACAGACACAAGGCTGGCAGGCGTCACGGGGGTACTCACCTCCATGGGATAAATGAACGTCTGTGCGGTGGCTCCGGCCATCGAACCCGAAATAAATCTCTCAAAGGTTCCTATTTTTTGTCCTTCCTCAGTAAGCAACTTCTTGTACTGCATGAATAAAGCATTAAATGCACATTAGTATCTGCTGCAGACTGAGCTGTGCCCCCCCAATTCAGAATGTACTTAGGGATTTACCCCAACATGATGGTATTAGGAGGCGGGGGCCTGAGGAAGTGCTCTGGTTTTATGGAGGTCAGAAGGGTGGGGGTCCTCTTGACAGGAGTGCCCCTCTCAGAGGAGACACCCAACAGCTGTCATCTGGCTGTCTCTCTCTCTCTCCCCCTTACATTGGCACTGGGCAAACACCCTGCATGTACACATTGAGGGGACGGCCTCCTGCAAGTCAGGATAAGAGGCCTCACTAGGAACCAATGACTGGGCCTTGCTCCCAGGCTTCCCAGCTTCCAGAACTTTGAGAAATAAACGTCTCCTGCTTTTTAAGCCAGTCTGTGGTATTTTGTCATGGAAGGCTGAGTTAATTAGGACAATACCAAAAAGCAAATCAGCTCCTAGAGGCTAATTCACTAACAATGCAATGATGTGTCTCAAAATCCACACACTGCATTAATAACGGCAGAAAGGCAAGGCGTGGAGACCAACACGTTCAGTTTACTGCACAGTGGTTTCCAAGTTGGACTTCCAAGGATACACATTCCAAAGATCAGGCATAGCTGCTCCTTTGCTAAGACAGAATAAGGGCATTCTTTCCCAACGCACAGAAAAATAAAGGGTTAACAAAGCTTTGACAACCTTCAGACACTTCCCCCATAAAGTTGTTAAAAATGCACTTATTTTTACTACTATGAATAAAACCATTAAGCAACAATTATATATCAACCAAACGACTTAGAAAACTAGCTTTTGTAAATCACACATATAATTATCCTAACACATCAACCGCAGCGCCTCCCAGATCCACTAGTACTAAAGCAGCCCAACCAAGGGTGGAAATATAACCTAAATGTGGCCAAAATATTGGGATGTTGATACCACGAGCTCCAGATTCCGACAAAGCTGGGCTGCAATCAGAGCCACATGGCCCTGAGCAAGTGCAAGCATATGGCCAAGCTGCAGTGTCCTTGACTGTGATAACAGCACCAATCTCACGAGGCGGGTGAAAGGAGTATGTGAAATAATGCACCTAACAGTGTTAGCACAGGCTGGGCACAAGGCAAGTATCCAGTAGATGTTACTAACATTTTTTTTAAGTTTGAAAGTCAAAGTTACACAGAGAGAGAGAAAGAGAGGCAGAGAGGCAGAGAGGCAGAGAGAGAGAGAGAGAGAGAGAGAGAGAGAGAGAGATCTTCCATCTGCTGGTTCACTCCAATTGGCCGCAACAGCCAGCGCTGCACTGATCAGGAGCCAGGAGCTTCCTCTGGGTCTCCCAGGTGGGTGGAGGGGCCCAAGGACATAGGCCATCCTCTACTGCTTTCCCAGACCACAGCAGAGAGCTGGATCGGAAGAGGAGCAGCCGGGTCTAGAACCGGCGCCCATATGAGATACTGGCACTTCAGGAGGCGGCTTTACCCACTACACCATAGTGATGACCCCAGATGTTACTAACATTTTGAAGTTTCTCTGCCCTTTTTGTGTTTCTGTTATGGGTTTTTCCTCCTAAATTTTTTTTAGTAATAACTCTTTATTTAAACACTCTTAGGATCCCAAACCCCATTTAAAAATAAAAACTGCAAAGCACCCCATAAACCCCCTCATCTAGTGTCAGCCCTTCTGACACAGCTCCTGCTCTGAGAAGGCACAGTAGTCACGGAGGCCTGCTGGTCCCCTTCCACACTGCAGAGTCACAGAGTATGTGGCTCAGTGCACGCGTGGAAGCTCACACAGGTCCCGAGAACTCACACGGAGCTGAGCTATCGACTCACTCTATAAGTAATAACTTAGACTGGACCACAAGAGCAGTATGGGGGTAGCAGAAGAGACGGACATCCCTGCACAGGGAAGAGGAGCTGGGAGGTGACAGAAACACCGACATGGAAACAGCAGGCACAGCTTTGTAATGGGAGCCACTTCTAAGACGCTAGAAGACCCCTTTCCTGTGAGCCCGAGGCAGGACGCCTCCTCCCGCCGCGCCCGACAGCCCAGCAGCTTCTGGGTTCACAACCAGGTCCTTCCAGGTAGGAAGCGCTCCTGGAGCTGGGACAGCAGAGGCCAGGGTGGAAGCCAGGTCACACGGGCATATACCCTGGGTCTCCTCACCAGGGCGGCTAGGGCCCGCCGGGTCGCAGGCTGCTGGGCCATCAGCCTCTTTCATCCTCTGCTCCTCACCCGCCTCTTCCACCGGCTGCACTCTAGTTCGTTCGTGCAACCCCGTCTTTCTTCTTTTCTCCCAGCACCTCCAGCCCCATCATCCTGAGATAACGAAGCCACTCATTCTTGGGCACGAAAGTCAAAGTCGGAATGGAGGTCTTCCCCTGCTATCTGTACAGCACAGTGGGGCACTGCAGGGCCTCTGGCTTCTCAGGGTCCGGCTCGTACTTCAGCACTACGGTTCCCTTGGCTTGATCGTAGGTCTCACTGCTGAGCTTTCTCAAAAATGAATTTTCCTGGGTCAACAGTATCTTAACATCTTCATGGGACACTAATAATCCTTGAATTAATAAATGGATACAGTGTATATATTCCTTCCTGTGCCAGCCGGAAGGCACAATCAAAGTCTTCACCACTGTTATTTCGACACCAGGCTTTTATCCCTGTGTTAATGACCTTCATGCGGCCGGCGCTGCAGCTCACTAGGCTAATCCTCCGCCTAGCGGCACCGGCACACCAGGTTCTAGTCCCGGTCGGGGCACCAGATTCTGTCCCGGTTGCCCCTCTTCCAGGCCAGCTCTCTGCTGTGGCCAGGGAGTGCAGTGGAGGATGGCCCAAGTGCTTGGACCCTGCACCCCATGGGAGACCAGGAGAAGTACCTGGCTCCTGCCATCGGATCAGCGTGGTGCGCCGGCCGCAGCACGCCGGCCGCGGCGGCCATTGGAGGGTGAACCAACGGCAAAGGAAGACCTTTCTCTCTGTCTCTCTCTCTCACTGTCTACTCTGCCTGTCCAAAAAAAAAAAATTAGGGAAAATGACCTTCATGCACTCACTATTGTTCAGAAGCACATTGCGCAGCTCCTTGGAGACCATGTAGAGCTGCCTCTTCCCTTCTGTGGTCTGAGTTAACAAGTTCTTCTTTGGGAATGAAGAATCCAGAGCATAAAACTTTTCAATAGGTGGAAATAACGGATCGTCTTCAGGAATAAACACAAAGAGGTTTTCTTTAAACCCAAATAAATAACTTCATTCTCTTTGATGGAGGAAGGCCCCACACACCATCCTTCTTATTCCCACCGACTCACGAGTTCTCAGCTGCCTGGATGGCTTCCGGATGCTCAGCCCCAGAGGCTGACTGACCATCCAGCTCAGGGCTGTCTCCAGGTCTCTCTTCTGCAGGCTCTGCAGGGCTGGACTGCGTGGGGTCTCTGGTCTCTGCAGACCTACTTTGCACCTTTGGCTGACGTTTATTCCATGGAATTGAAGATTTTTTCACTAATACTGCCATGAAGAACCCTCCAGTATTCTGATGATGTGATAATATTCTAAGGCACCGCTCCAAGTGCATGGCCTGCAGCTTCTCTTGGTCCTTGGGCGGGAACATGGTGGGGCGGATCTGGGTATGCCTGCTGTGGGGAACGTCATCCCAGTGCGCAAACCACTGTCCATCTCTCGTCATGACCTTCCAATGTGTGAGTCCAGGCATCCATTTTATTTATTTTATTTTATTTTTTTTGACAGGCAGAGTGGACAGTGAGAGAGACAGAGAGAAAGGTCTTCCTTTGCCTTTGGTTCACCCTCCAATGGCCGCCGCGGCCAGCGCGCTGTTGCTGGTGCACCGCGCTGATCTGATGGCAGGAGCCAGGTGCTTCTCCTGGTCTCCCCTGGGGTGTAGGGCCCAAGCACTTGGGCCATCCTCCACTGCACTCCCTGGCCACAGCAGAGAGCTGGCCTGGAAGAGGGGCAACCGGGACAGAATCCGGCGCCCCGACCGGGACTAGAACCTGGTGTGCCGGCGCCGCTAGGCGGAGGATTAGCCTAGTAAGCCGCGGCGCCGGCCCCAGGCATCCACTTTAGTCCTGGCAACTCAGCAGACACATCTGCCAGTTCCAGAGCACTTTCACTTTTTTCCAGCAGCGACGCGAAGATGGCTTCATCCTCGATGGGGTTCAGCGAACACGTGGAATACGCCATCCTCCCACCTTCTGCCAGCTGCTCGGCGCCTTGTGTTGCAATCCACAGCTGTAAGCCGTGTAGCTGCAGGTGGGGTTTAAGGTGGTCCACTTTTTCCAAACATCAATGTTTTTTCTCATGGTGCCATCTCCACTGCAGGGGACGTCACAGAGAATACGGTCGTAGAAGAGAAGCTCCTTCCTGCCGTCCACGTCCATCTGCAGCCGGGGTATGCTGGACACATCGTGGTTGACCACCATGATGCAGGGGCTGCTCAGCCTCTTGGTCTGGTGCACGAGCAGATAGCAGCGCTTGTTGTCCACATCATTTGCGATAACAAAGCCCTCTGGAAACGGACGTCCATGTCGGCATGGAGCATTTCACTGAGGTGTGTGGTCTTTGATCCAGGTGCTGCACACATATCTAAGATCTTGTGATGGGGCTGGAAGCTGAGCAGCAGCAGGGGGGTCATGCTAACCGCTTCCTGGCGACTGATAATTCCAGATTCAGTTTCGCTAATGAGAAACTGATGAAATCTTTCCAACTGTGGGGAATTTCTCAAGATTTTTCAACTTAAATGTGTATGCCAGGCAAGTTCTTCAGGATACCAGCTCAAGGGCTGCGGAACTTCCACTTTCTGGCCATCCACCTCCAGCGCCTCCAACTCCTAGAAATACTTGTTCTTCAGGCAATGCAGGATCTCTTTTGCGTGGCTCTTGTACCCCGTGATCCTCAGCGTGGCGGGCAGTGGCTCCCTGAGCGCGCCCATGGCTCCCATCGGGCTCGGGCACAACGCGGAGCTCCTCGTAGTAGAGCTTGAACAGCTTGTT